AATAATAATAATAATAATAATAATAATATTAATATTTAAATTAATAATTGTTACAATAGTGATGACAATAATAACAATTATTACAATAATGATAAAGATGATTATATTGTTATTACTATTATTATTATTATTATTATTATTATTATTATTATTATTATTATTATATTATGTTGTTGTTGTTATTGTATTTGTTATTTATTAATTATTTATTATTATTGTTATTAATATTATTATTGTTATTAATATTATTATTATTAATATTATTATTATTATATTATTATTTATTATTATTATTATTATTATTATTATTATTATTATTATCATTATTATTATTTTTATCATAATTGCTATTGTTATTATAATTATTATCATTATTGTTATCATTATTAATATGATGGCTATCACTAGTAGTATTAGTATCATTGTTACTAATATAATTATTATAACAATAACAGTGGTAGTAATGACAACACCAGAGTAGTAAATGTAATAACGGTAATAATAATGATAATTATTACGATAATAATAATAATTATTATCATCATCATCATCATCATCATCATCACCATCACTAATGATATCATTATTTTCAATATCATTGTTATTATCACTATCATAATGAATATTATTACTGCTATCATTATTATTGCTGCTATTATCATTACTATAATTGTTATTGCTAATGTTATTACCATTATTATCATGATTATTATTATTACCATCATTATCATCGTCATTACTATCATCCTCGTCATAATTATTAGCATCTATTACTATTACTATGAAGATAACTATTGACATCACACATCAGATTATTCATAGGGAACATTCTTTTTGCATCAATTTTAGTATTTATAGCTTTAGACATAACTAGGTCACCAAGTGAGTAGGTACCATACAAGGTCACCTAGGTCAGATCAGTGTTGTTATCATTATCATTATTATTATCATTACTATTATCATTATCAACATTCATATCATTATTGTTGTAATTGTCATCATCACTATCACTATCATTATTAATATTGTTATTGTTATGCAGTGTGTTGGTTGTATGATTTGTTTTATAATAAATTCATCAAAACATTGGGAGTTTAAATATACCATGTCCTCTTTGTTTATTTTACTTCATTTATTATGTCATATCTAAACTGCAGCATGAGCATTACTATACTGAATGTGATATAGACTGACAATCGCTGATAATCATCGCCTGTAAAATCTGCTCAATATGCAAATCGTTCATTGTGCAGGAATATAAAATAAGTCAAGTATTTGCTCATTTTCTACCGTTTTCTAGGATCTTCTTCCCACCCTACCATGCTCTATTTCCCCCCGCCCCCCTCGCTTTCAGGTTACGCCTGGGGACGTCATAGACCTCACCATCCAAAGCTGCGCAGATCTCCGAAGTGACGAGACCTGTGCTTATATAGACCTTGATCAGTTACACTAGTTTTTATGGCTAATCATACCTTTTATTCAAATGAGTTCCTGCAGTCAACACTGATTCACCTTCACTCAAGGATGATCCAAACTAATTTAACTCCAGGAATTTTAAATCTAGAGGGCATTTAGACAAAGGCCTGGTTGTTCGGTTGTATGAATGCTGAGGTGGCAGTTTTGAAGGTGATTTGGTATTTTGGCCCTTACCTCAAGTTAAAGTTACCACCAAGATCGTCCACAAGTACTTCACCTCCAACACAACTTATACAACTATAGCCTCACTACCACCAAACTCTATTTTGTGGTTTTATTCCCTTAGAAGTTTGTATAATCATAACTAATTAAGGGGTACATATTACCAATTAAATACATTAATGATAGCATAATGAGAGTGTCACTGCTTCTAGCTGAAGACACACACACGCACACGCACACACACACACACACACACACACACACACACACACACACACACACACACACACACACACACACACACACACACACACACACACACACACACTCATAAAGACAATGGTTTTGCAGTGTCTTACAAAATGCATATTCAGCAACTTAATCAACAGAGTACAAATCACCTTCAATTTTGTAATAAAGGTACCAAAGTTTTATATTTATTCATATACATTTTAGTTTGATGCCTTATCTTTACTCTTGTGGGGGAGGGGGATTGCTGTATATCATTAATATATTCTCAAGATATTTGATAACTTTGCAAAGAGGAGACAAGGGTTTTGATACCGCACATATTTCTTTGTGCGGGCTGGGTCCACAACACACACTTGAGGTAAAGTGGCAGCAAGTGGCAAGAACACATTATATCGTATCTTGATTCTCTGATAATACATTGTACATCCATGGCCAGTGACAAATTTAAGTGAGGCTATTAAACCTTTAAGATAATTTTTGTAAACAGAGAAAAGGACCCAATGGCTGAAGATTCTTTTCTTTTCCAGGTGATGATCAGCCCTCCGAGGATGAGAACACAGAAGCTGCCAGAAGAAAATTGCGTATATCACAGAAGGAAACAGAACTTCAG